CGGTATTCAATGCATCTCTTTAACTTAAACAAGTATGTCCTCACCAGTGATCAATATTTATTCATTTGTGTGAGAAGGAGGTTGTGTGAGTGTGTGTGTGTGTGTGTGTGGGGGGGGGGGGGGTCATCCCAGATCCCTAGCTACATTATCGGGCCACTGAAAACTTGGTTATACACGGCTATATTCTAACTCGTCGACGTCAAAGAAGTCCGCATACGAGTACTAGTACTGTATATATAATGAATCATTCATAATTTCTCACATCTAGTCCTATAATTGTGCATCTCGCATAATAAATTTGCTGATCACAGTTGACCTTCAGTGCACCCGGCTGTGTGCAAGAGCACTTTCCAAATAATTTAAATTTCCCAGGGTGTGTGCCCGAGACGTCTTGGTACGGTACTTGTGTGTAAAAACATGGTGTACACGGCTATTACCAAACCAGGTGAAGCCCAACATCCGGTCCTACAAGTTTCAATCGCGGTTTCCGACTGGAGACTAGCGTTTTTTGGACATAAAAAAAATGCTTCCCAGATTTACAGTTTTACAGTATAGGCATATTGTATTCTTTTTATACACACAGTAAGAATGACTTGTTTCACGAACCCACCACAGACATACGCCCAACCCCCAGATGGTGGATGGGGGTGGATTGTGGTTTGCAGTAGTCTGACGGTTCGTATGATGACATTAGGAGTCTCTGCTCATGCCGGTGTACTCATTGTTGCACTGAAATCAACTATGGTCAACAATTCTGTCGTGGAGATTGTTTTAGTCACCTCTTTGTATTTCGGATTTATGTGTTTTATAGGTACGTATCAAGTACTGTACTGTCTTCGAGCATACTTTGAGGTATCCTCGTAATAACCTTATAATATTTATATAGTGGGTAATTAAGTTTAATTTATTGTATTCGAATAATTGACACATATTTTTAACTCTAACTCTTTTAAAACCATAACAAGTAATGTACTGTTAGTGAAATAATGTTCAAACATGTACCATTTTGACAGGTCCATTTGGTATTTACATAAATGACAGATATGGTACAAGGCCAGCTATGCTTATAGGCGCTACATTGTCAACTATTGGGTTGTTCCTGAGTTCCTTTGCTTTCAATACGTATTATCTGTACATATCATATGGGGCCATAACAGGTAGGTATTGTCAGTGTTATTATCATCAAATGTTTTAATATTTTATAGATACTTCACTGAAATATGTTGTAGTTTATGGTAAGCGTGTACATGTATGCATCCCTATATTGGTTATGAATGCCATGCCAGCAAATAATATGCGTAGAAATAGACATATGCCATTTTTTTAATTATCAGAAGAACAAACGTATCTATGTTCTCTAAGACGAAAAACTAATTATTCCGTATGGTTGGTACTTATTGGATTTAACGATTAATGCAATAAATATTGGGAAATGTGTTTGTTATGCAACCTCGTTTATAAGTATTAAAAATGGTTTAGGGTGTTGTATTTACTATAATTTAATCATTATGCACGTAAAATACCGTCTGTAACTGTTCTTATGCTGATTTAAAGCGGGAGAGTCGTCACCTGCTCATGCGTCAGATTGACATAGCGTGTCATTGTTTACTAACAAGCATCTACCCATGAGCCTTTGCGTTTTTAGCATGTGTTATCATCGCTTGGGACTCGATTCCCGCGCGTCCGCAGGTGACGACCCTCGCGCTTTAACTAAAACCAAGCATATATCTGTTTTTTTATACATTCAGGTACAGGTCATGGTTTTTTGATAGCCACAAATTTGCCGATTTTGTCGAAATACTTTGACAAACATTTTGCAACTGCAACTGGGATTGCCTGTGTTGGGACTGGCTTGGGATTTTTTATTTATCCACCGATGACTCAGTTTTTTGTTAGTAAATACGGTTGGCGCGGATCGTTTTTAATGTTATCTGCGATCAACGCCAATACTTTTGCATGTGCTGCTGTTATGCGTCCAATCATTGTGACTAGTCAAGAACAAGAAAAGAAAAACACAGACAGGAAAACAGATGGTCTTTTTAAGACACTAGTTCGAAGTCTAGGGTTTCGACTGTTGTGTACGAACCTTAATTTTGCCCTGATGATGTTGGGAGTATTTGCGGCTGACATGAGTTTTTTAATTGTAATCTCACTCACCGTACCTTATGCAGTTGATAATGGAACCCCAGAACTGAAAGCACCATTTCTAGTTACAGCAGTAGGTATCGCCAGCCTCTCAACCAGACTTGTTCAAGGATGGATTGTGGATAAGGCATATATACGACCAATTTGCATTCTGCCGATACTTATGCTCACTATGGGAATTGCGCAACTAACAATTGCTTTAACAACGATGTTCCCTGTGTTGATTGTTGCGTGCGTCCTTGTTGGAGCTTGTGATGGCATATACTTTCCTGTGTATTTTGTTTGTATGAAAGTAATGGTAGGAGTAACGAATTATTCACATGCAAACTCAATGACGTTATTAGCAATTGGATTGGCGGGAATTCTAGGTTCACAGTCTGGAGGTAAGCTATTTTGCTTTTTCTCACGCAAAATTTAAATGCGCGAGTACACCAAGTGACTTTGAAGTTCGTTTTCCTAACTGGCATTTTCAATATTAATCTATCTTATTAAACATTTTTTGATAACATTGAATACCAACAACAACGAAGTCTCAACCCGAATACTTATTTACTTATAAATATATATCTATTTTTGTTCACACGTGGCAAGTTCGCCTCATAACGCTACGGGCGTGCATCCATTATTTAAAGCGCGGTGGTCGTCGCTCAGCGCGTGTTTGAATTTTATGTAAACAAACAATTTTATTTTACACGCGTAGTATACGTCGCTGTGAGTCCCATATCGAAACAGGACGCGGCGCGACGACTGCAGCCCTTTAAATTAAAACAGGTCGAGTCAGGTCTTTTTTTTCTTTCTAAATTTGAAACTGGTGCAATTTATAGTTAAGATTGTTCCTATAAATTTCGATAAAATTCTCACTATTGCCTTCAATTATTTGTTCTGCCATGTGACAGTTCTGGACATTGACTGTTAACTGTTGTCTTTTTAGTGCAAATTGCTGGAACGTGTGCTGACATATATTGATTTTTTTACTGAAGCCACATACCATGGTTTAGGCTTACCATGTGATATGTCTGTTTAGCCGGATTTTTGGCATATTATCTAAAAATATTTTATCAAAAATCAAAAAGGCTCTCAGACTGTTGAACATATGCCTTAGGTTTCCAGTTTCCTAGAGTCACATTCATCGGTGAATGAATCTCCGCAACCACTACGATGTGACTTGGTACTACATTTTGTGCAGAACTTCCTGTGGTTTTCTGACAGAGACAAACAGAATGGTGTATTTTTTAAATATTTTTTTTTTTTGTGTGTTTGAACAAATTAAGCAGAAGTACCAGTATATATATATCCATGTATATAATTATAGATAGATACTAACAATAGTCTCTAACCGAAAACACTGTACATCACCTACAGCCAATCAGCATTTTTGCAGTCTGAAAACCAGATTTTAACCCTCGTTCACCTAAACAGTGGCTCTTATATTTATACACACTGCTACATTGCCTAAATTTATTCCTGAAACTAGATTAGCCAGATTATTCAGCAATACATCCACATATTTAACAAATGTTAAAGGGGAGCAGAGGTGTGGCTTTTGACACTCTGTACATGAAATTTGAGATCTATGAATTCTGTCGATAAAAACAGCTTATTTGTGCTGCGAAATGCCCTAAATATCGAGTATAAAACGGGCTGTGAAGCAGACGACAAACGCCCGCTTTGCCTGGCGTCATTTCGCCTCTAGAAGGCCAGTCAGATGATGTCATCAGTGAACACTGATAATTGAACCCATTCATGCTAGTACGTCAATCCCATAGAAATATTTATGTTTGATATTTTAATTGTGAACCAATTTTCCATATTCGTTCTAGGCCTTGGTCTAACTATTTGAACACATATAAAAATAAGCATGTGGGTGTGATTGATAATGTTTGGTTTACTAATAATGTATCTAACAATGCCGTATTGTTATTCTCTCTCGACAGGTTGGATATATGATAACACGGGCAGTTTCAAGATAGTATTTTATCTATGCGTCGTATGTAATCTTGTGGCTGCTTTGCTGTACGGTATCGTCGCTTTCAGGCAGAGAGCGCAGAAAAGAAACGCACACTGGGGAAACAATGAAAACTGATTTTGAGACTGGTTTCATAGAATAGCATTAGACTGTGCTTCTATGTATGGGTCAAAATGTTGCTCCAGAGAAATTCATATTGCCAGATCACGTTTTGTGATTGTCACGGGGGTTTAAGTTGTTCTAAATATGGACAGATTTTGACAGAACAGTGATTGTTACATTAAATTAAATGTACTTTTGTTCAACATTACATTTACTTGGGTATGTAACAATAACCAGTTTGTTTTCACATTGTACGTAATTAAATACAGGCAAAAACTGTTACTCCTGAGTAAAAAAAATTTCAGCTTTTGATATTTCAAGTACTATTATTTCATTACTTTTCAATGAAACTTGATACATAGATGCTCTAGAACAATCCAACGACCTGATTAATTTTAAGTAAATATGTGTGCATATTAATCAACTAATTTGCATAATTAGTTAATTTTTTGGCTTTTACACTGATATCGCAAGTACTAATTATCCCATTTCAATGAATCTTGGTACATAGATGTGTTAAGACAATGTACAGACCTAATTAGTTTTGGTTTTAAAATAGTACATATTAATTACCTTATTAGCATAATTAAACGCTTAGTACAGGCCAAGAAAGCGAGTAAAGTACGAGCTAAATCTGACCCATTTTTAAGATCCGCATAGCAAAATGTGCGCTGGGGCTCAGCTCGGGCTAAAGCCCAGAACACCATTGTATTCAACGCCTGTTTTAGGGATTCACTATTATATTCTTAGCTTTTCGTTTCGGTATGCCATTTCCGACATTACATTCAATGCGAACACATCAAGAGACATTATTCACAGAAAATGGTCTGACGATGAGACTACTTGTATTGCTTCCTGTTATTCTGTTAGCAGCTTTTGTATTTACATTGTTATTGTTTTATTTCCACATGTACTGGTTACTGTACTAAAGTAATAAAGGTTAAAAAGATTGGAGAGGTGGATATTCTCAAAACGTTTTGGTGTTAACTGTTGTTCCCTCCCTTCCTCCTCCCCTCCCCCTTTGATGAGCACATATTGGTATATGTAAACATGTGAGATTAGATTAAATCTTAAACTGTATTCCAGGAGTCCCACTTTTATGTGACAAGTGATATATGGAAGGTGACATGATGATGACCAGGATTAAACTACTGCTGTCCATTCCAAAGGTTACGTTTATCATGAGTCCTTCTATTATTAAACTTGGCAATCCGATAATTAAGGGTGAAATCTTCTGCAAGCGGGTTAGGGAACCACACATTCAGAATGCAGAATGACATTTAGATATTGACGAATTGAGCACGGCTTGAGGCGCCTTGCCAAATGGACCACATATCTATATAGGACCGCTGGGCTAACAGGGACTGGGATTTAACCAAATTCTAGGCAGAATTCCAAGAAGGATTTGCGATGAGCATTGTATATTCGTTTTGTAGAGTCTACAAAGGTAAGAGTTCTATAGAAGGTGATCTCAAAATCCAGTTCTGTCTCCATTTGTCGAAGCCGAGTACCTGCTGGACAAGAGAGTGCGCACGATGAGTCATATGATATGAGAATGACAGAATGAAGTTTCTGGGTTTCCAGTGGGTGTCACTGTGAAGTGAGGAGTAAAGGCAATGTGCTTTACCAGGCTGGTGTAACTTAGATATAGCATCTGGAATTATCCAGCATAAGAATTGGTAATATGCAGATTGGTCGAGTATATTCATTATCTACAATCTATCCTTGAACAAGTCTGGTTGAGAGGTTGGCAATTTTGAAAGAATCGGCAAACTTGCGTCTATCAACAAACCATGACGGGTACCTAATTCTGCCTAAGAACAGTTACAAATTGTAAGTGAAAGTCAACAATGTACACAATGATTAAATTATAGTAAATACAACACCCTAATTTGTTTAATATTTATAAAGGAGGTTGCATAAGAAAAAAAACATTTCCCAGTGTTTATTGTCTTCAATAAATAGAATAACTATTTATCTTTTTTTCTATATAAAGGACCTAAATATTTTTCATCTGTCTATTCCTAGTACATTGTAAACTGTACATATTTCAGTAAAGTATCTATAAAATATTAAATTAATGATAATAACACTGACAATACCTACCTGTTATGACACCATATGATATGTACAGATAATACGTATTGAAAGCAAAGGAACTCAGGAACAACCCAATAGTTGATAATGTAGCGCCTATAAGCATAGTTGGCCTTGTACCAAGTGAACCTGTGAAAATAGTATATGCTTGAACTTTATTTCACTAAAAGTACATTCCTTTTTTTATGGTGCAGGATATTCTCTTTCTCCTTTCTGGACTTTCGTCTGTGGTGGTTTTGATAAACAAGTTACTTTCTTACTGTGTGTATAAAAAGAATACAATATGCCTACACTGTAAATCGGGAAGCACGTGTTTATGTCAGACTATTGCAAGTCTCCAATCCTGGTGTGAGGTGAACACTTGTAGGACCGGATGTGGGGGCTTCACCTAGTTTAGTAATAGCCGTGTACACCACGTTTTTTTTACACTCAAGTACCGCACCAAGTCGTCTCGGGCACACATCCTGGGAAATCTACACCGTGTTCACTTGTTTCTATAAGTTTGCGTTGAAATTATTCGGAAAGCGCTCGCACACACAATCGGGCGCACTGAACGTCAACTTTGGTCAACAACTCTGCCTGGGGAGATTGTACGACGCGATGACCTTTGTTTGTCCTGTTTTTACGTTCGATTTCACGCATAACGCGTGATTCTCGCAGTGAACGGAAAATGGTCAATTCTTGCCGTGGAGATAACAGGCTATGGATTTCTTTGATGTTGATATGATATTCTGTGCACACTATCCTCAGGTTTCACTTTCTCATTCATAATAATAGACTGCTTCTTGAATCCAATGAAGTATACTGAAAATCGTCATAACCATCCATAGTATCCCTAATGAGCTTCACTGACAGCAGATCATGATATTTCCTGTGTGTACCGATAACAGCTCCATCTGTATCTATTCATTCTGCGGACTAATCTGTCACAGAACGCACATCTGAAGATCTCAAGATTTACTTCATACCTTTCCCCTGCTTCTTTCTCTTTGTCTAGTCTGCAATGCATATTGCAGTCCCATAACTTCAGGTTTCTTGGGACGTCTACCACCTTTCTGATAATGTAATATTTTATCATAGTAATCTCCTTAACAATGACACTAGCACCAATATCAGAATTCTTGTTGTGAAATTTATGCTCCAACTCACGATCCATCAT